CTGAATAGTATTAAATAGTAGGTATATTAATTATTAATCTTTAAGCAACATAATATTACTTGGACGGACTAAATGGCATAGGCATTTTCACCGGTGTCAACCTTTGGGTGATGTAGATAATTTATAGTAGGTAGAATAACAATGAAACAATGAATATATTTTTGCAAATAGGCAATAAAACTGCACTTTTACACGTCAAATTATATGTGAAAAACTAGATGAAGCCGGCATTTCTTATCTGACTACTCTGAGAAAAAATGCCGAAACAAACTCAGAGGTCAGTGTCTTTTCAAGTACAGACAATGTAAAAATAACATAATGTGAGATCTAAGCTTATCCCATTAAACAAGCAAACTTGGAACATTGTTATAAATTTGATTACAAAATGCAGCTTAAATATAGTGATATCCTATCCTACTTATATAATAAATGTTCTTCACATTTTTGTTTCTGAATAAAAATCTACTGGACCCATTTAATCTTTAAAATTTAGTATGTAGATAGGTAGGTATACCCTAAATTAACAATTACGCTTTTTATCAACATACCACGCGTGCGAAGCTAGCCTATCAATAAATAAAAGTTTTATGATTAAAAGAACTAATCTGCCTAACATAAGAGATTAATTCGATCCTGACAATACAAGTAGGCTAAAGAGATTTGTCACCAAGTTCCTTGGAAAGCCTTAAGTACTGAAACTTAGTAGTTAAGTGTTTAACTTGTCCCTTTCTTAGACAACAAGTTATAGTTGCTGGACATTAAATAATTTATAGTTGTAGCAGATTTAAAGTTTTCGAAAATGGAAAAAATGCTTACTCCGTTGGTAGGTTCTACGAAAATACTACGCCGTAGCAGTCAATGCTACGTTTGCTACGACGATACAATCATCTTTTTTTTAAACGTCTATAAATATAGTGATCTTAAATAGAAACCAGAGAAATTTAAAAAGCAAGAAATAATCATCGGTTCTAATCACGGTTCCAATTATAATACTTGAATTAATTAATACATTTACCAACTGGAGACTTTTTAAAACATTCACCAACAACGCGGTTAATACTGACTGAGACTCACGGTGGAATTGCCTTCGATAATTTTGCTATATACTTAATCAAATCAGTAGCAGCAATACCTAAACATTGAGTTTACCAGTGTAAATAGAATAAACACTATAAGAGCAAATATATCCACAAACGCATATGTGTATAAGTTAATTGATAGATAACTCCTTTTCTGATTACTGTTGTAAGATAACATATTTTCTCATAAGGATATCTCAGGGCAAAATTGATGGATATTAGACGTATAAATATAGATTTTATATAGAAAGTAATAATATACTTGCCTCGTATTACAACAGATTAATTCTTATTAGTTAACATTTCGGGTATATTGCGGATCTAAGCAGTTTTTTTTTACTGTAGCTACGGGTCTGCTCATTTTTTTTGGTGAAAGTAATTCTTACCTTTATGATATCAATCTACACAAACATATCATAAAATATTTGTATACATTTAATTCAGTATAAATTATTATTTGTATTTAATGAAGAATCCAAAACGTTTTATTTCATGTTTGCACTCAGGATTTAATCAGTGTGTAGGTAAATTTATATTTTATTTCCAATTAATTGTTAATAATTTTCACGGGAAATTTGATTAAGTTCACATTAACCTGTTTTGAGTAATTACTAACAATCTGCGCAGTATTGAGTATCAAAAATAATTTTAGTTACCCGTGAGAAATGTTCAGTTCGATATTAATGTACACAGTTGAAATGTTTTTAATGAAAAATGTAAATACCAATTTGGAAATTTTGATACATGGTTTGCGTTCTACGAGGTCTTTTATTACTTGGAAAATTGTTGTCGCAAATTCCATTTTTAAATTATTGTGTTACAATGATATCTGATGTGATCAATAAATCAATCAGCCTGCTTTGTATGTAGCATTCGGTAATTCTACCTACGCGCAATAAAAGTAATGATGATGTTAAAAGAAAAACTCTTGTCAAGTCTCAAGTTTCTAGATTAATGCATTACGTAGTCATGCCAAGAACTCTTTTCTGCAAAGTTATTTAACAAGAACCCTTTGATAAAGTCTCAAGTTATCTTTATCTTTTGAATTAAATTTGAGAATGTATTACGATGTCCTAACTAATTGAATTAGAGAAGTTATTATCTGGTATATCGGGGCTGCGAGACCTTTTATGAGTTGGGAGCTGTGCCTGACCCAGTCATTGATGTTGACTACGAAGTTGTTGGTTTATCTTCTGTCTTGGAACTAAGTATTTTACAAATCTCTGATTCACATAATATATTAATCAAATGGATTGACGATTCTTGTACATATAAAAAATAAGATGAACTTAAGAATAGTAGTAAGATCGTTTCACAATAAAGTGCCTGCTTAGTGGCTCAAACGAGATTTATTTCACATTCAAGTCGTCGATTGGCGAAAATAGGCCACATCTAAAGAAATTACTACATTTTTATCTGTTGAATAGATTAACCAAACCATAACACACAACGCCAAAAAAATCAATAGCTATTTTTACAAATAGTGCCTGTTCTAAAATAAAATCATAAACTATTTTCAGTTCCAAAAAATATACAGGAAATTTAGTGTTGTGATAAAAATATAAGCCTGTCAGTTACGTGAAATGCTGCTGCAATGAAAATAGAAAATACTTACGTGTCAGGGTATAGAAAAATAAAGTTGCTTTTAACGCTGTTTATTTTATATCTTAAGCTATAATTTCATTAATATCCAGTTACAGGTTTATAAGTAAACACATTACATAAACGAGTTATGTATTAGAAGTTGATCCGCCATGGCAAATATATTATGATAATCTTATTTATATATTTTTTAAATCTTATAAGAATTTGAATTTAAGAACAATTTATTATTCCTAAGTTTCATAGTCTTTATCGTTTGTCAGTTTTCAGATGGGCATTTTTGTAGCTAGTCTCTTTAAATTTTACAAGATGCTACGGTTTGACCGTTTGCTTTAAAACCCAATAAGGTTTATATATCATCCAAACTTTGACACGTTTTTGAATTTTAGGACTTAGTGGATTGACTTTTTATTTATATTTGTCAATGACTTACTCGAACCTAATACAAAGATAGCTTTTCGTTTACTTTTCATTTTAAATAGCAAAGTAAGTTAGTTTAATATTTTTATCATCAGCTTTTATTGACATTTTTTATTTACTAAGTGAAATTAGATAAAAGCGAATACTGGTTAAGTTTTTATGATAAGTCACGTACAGTGTGTATCTTTTTTTATTGTAACGTTGAGAGAGTTCTATCTGGCGAAATTTTTTGTTAAAGAATACAATATTCATTTATACTATTGTATTATTTTGGACAAAAAAGTGATATATTTAAGTAATAGAAACGTTTTAGTATATTATTATCTACGATTGAGGCGGCAACTTTTGTCGAAGTAGTCTTTCCACTGATTCTAAAAATGATATACATAAAAATGTATTTATATTCCTAAAAGTATTTTGTTTCACAACAAAAGAGACATGTATTTTTCACTTTAAATGTAGATTTTTGTTATTCGAATGCAAACAAAACTGAAGTTCCAATTAAAAGTTATTTTTGTCAAACGTATTTGATATTTGTTTCAGTGGATATTCGAGACTTTCAAGTTATATACGTTTCTTGTGGGAGTTTTGTAACTGACTTAAACAACACGAAACAATTCGTATATGCATTGAAATATGAATGAATATTTTCAACGTGGGCGTCTCAACTACGACACAGGACCAAAGCCTAGTGTGGGCCAACATAAGTTTTTTAAGAAAAAGAAACACATTTTACATTCTACTCGTTACTATTAAAGCATATTATAATTTCGCTCTTTAAGCATTCTTATCAGGTACATGATCCTTTTGATATCAATCAAAATAATAACCATGGAGTTTCTTACTCTTTCTTCTCCATCGGAGTCTACACTTTGGAACGAGCTAATAGCTTCACTAAGAAGACGGGCAAACAGTATTTTTATTTGATTTTTAATCTTAGTCTTTCGTACAAACGTCTTTGTCTTAAATCACAACTTCAGAATTTAGTTAAAACAGAAAATCTGCAGCATTAGATTTTCTGATGAATAAGGCAATTCATGTCATTATGAAGTAAAACGCCTTGTGCAAGCCACTACATAACTGTATTATAAAAATAACTATCCACATCAGTATTAATTAATGTGGCCAACCCTAACAGAATGAGTACGTGTAGGTTAAACGGTTATACTGAACTATAAAGGAGCGGAGTGGCTATTGTATGGAGAGGGTTTGAACACAAACTTTCATTTTACTACCCTTAGAAACGACTGTGTAATATTTCCCTAAGGTTCCTCCACATACTTTATTACAAATATATGTATTTATATTGGCGTTGCAATGCAGAATAATTCTATAGAACATTTTGCAATTCCATAAACGTGTATTCTAAATGAGTAAGTCTTATTGTTCGTAATGGGCATAAGAACATTATTGGATCATTGTTTTATTTATTAGTAGCTGACTTGGCGAACTCCGTACCGTCTCAAATATAACAATTAAATTTTGTTTTGAACCTTCCCTGGACTTTCACAAATAATTCAAGGCCAAAATTAGCCAAATCAGTAACGGCATTGTTGAGTTAAATATGTATAACATTACAACGAAAAGTGGCATTGATTTTTATGTATATAAATCTGTCTGAAATATTATATTGGCATTAGTAAGTTATTGTTCGACTATGAATATGAATTTGCTATTTAAAAATACTCAGGCTACTTTTCTTTCCATCTAACTGAATACAAAAAAGTTTTGTTAATCCAAGTAAGTTTCTAGTAACTTTGTTTTATCAATGAGTGCAATCTTGGTGCCTTGTAGATCCCTTACGTGTGAAAGTTTGAACTCGTCAGAGAGCATTCATGCAATAGAAACCTTTTTTTGCTTGTATAAATTTGCATTTTAACCAGCACTTTGTCCACACAGGTTTGGGTCGAGCGGAGCATCGAGTTCTGCACAGAGAAATGGCCCGACTCAATAAAAAAAGAATTGTTTGGTGCATTCAGTTTCGTTCTCGTGTATGCAGTTCCCGGTGAGTTTTAACATTCACGTTTTGAAGTAACTCCACTGATTTCATCCTCTTGTTTTCGAACAAAGGACTAAATTGCATGACTGAAATTATTATGTAATATTATATTCCTAGAGGTACACGCGGTTATATCTTACTTCATACTTTTCTTCACTACAGTTAGGCATTCTAGGCCATAAGCATGGGTATTCAATAGAAATATGTATCGAGAAAAAAATCTAGTACCTTTATATTTTTTCTGTAGAAATAGATTTGTGGGGACAAGAGTAGGTCATTTGTCACGCGTTATTATTACACGGCCTGGCGGGCCCGAATATGTCGGAAATTTAGGAAATTACTTCTGCGTGCGAAGGGAGGTAGAATTAATTTTACTTTTCCAATCCGATTTATCTAACTCAATTCGATTATGGGGTTACATAAGCGTTCGATTCTCTATTATATTTATATCTTTTCTATTTTGTGACAAAAACAATCTAATAAAGTTACAGACATTGTCCCTGAAAGATTTTTCCCGGAAAAGTTGAGGTTTTTAGTATTTTCATTTCGCTACAATTTGATAATAATTCATTTCCGTTTACAAACTAAAAAAAGGTTTTTGCTTTTCTAACAATCCAGTCATATGCATTATGACAGTAGGTATCTAAATAATTCAAACATTTTTTCGTATTTATTTTTTATAGGAGCTTATTCTATTTCGATCACGTTTCAACAATGAGTCCATTATTCTCTGTTTTTCTAACGAAATATCTGTAACAGCAAAACAGTAACTAGTTTATTTCAGTGCTGACTTCACGTAACAGCTGTTCACTGAATCTTATTTATTTGTTCGAATCACTTAGTTTGCTACGTGATTTCGTAGCCCGTAGCTTGTAGCGGACGTAGGCGTCTACGAAATTTGGAGCTAGTCTTTCGAGACAGAATAGAGTTAATTCATTTTACAATTTTTTTAGTCTTCAATTGCAACTTACATTTTATATAAATAATTATAATTTTTTTGAACTGAAACTGTAAAGGCTATAAAAATCCAGTTTTAACCATTTACTTCATCAGCATCCATATTAAATAATACAATTCAAATTCAAAGTAATACGCATGTCCTTGAGAAGACAAAGATTTTAGTCCGCTGGGCATACGTTGCTACAATACATTAGGTTTTATATACGAAATAAAAGATGATGAATAGTATTTTTTCCCGACATCACGTGTTATATGGCATTGTTATAAAACAATAAGACTTTTTAAAAAGATATTTAGAACATAACATATAACACATACTATTGTCTGTATTTGAGTGAGGATCATTAATATCTTTCACATACTTGTATTTAATGGTCTTGAGCTTAATGACAGTTACCGGATTCCAAAATGGCGACGACACGCGGCTGTTAAATTCAAAATGTGTTGTTCTTCGGAGTGTGTAATTAAAACAAGGCTTAGAAGAGTTCATTCGCGAAAAGATAGGCCGAAAACATAAATCTATACTAATATAAATTATAAAGAGGTAAAATTTGTAAAAGAGGAATAATAAAGTAGGCAAGTGTGGGAGAGCCATGCTTCGGCACGAATGGGTCGGCTCGACCGGAGTGATACCACGGCCTCACAGAAAACCGGTGTGAAATAACCACAGCGTTCTGTTTCGCCGTGTGAGTGAGGTTACCGGAGGCCCAATCCTTCCCCTCCCCCAGTCCCTCCTCAATCCCTAAATCTCCAAATCCCTAATCCGTAAAAAGTCGGCAACGCACTCGTAACTCCTCCGTTGCGAGTGTCCGTTGGCGGCGCTGATTGCAGACCGATTAGAAAAAAAGATATTTTTTTAACTTATTTGATGATTTCCCTCCACAAAAACGATACGGCACCTCGTGATAACGTCACACGAGGCGTGTCTATATTAATATTTCGTAACATCACAGTTCGTTCACTCAAGTTTAAGTAATTTGTTTTGTTTAAAAGTTTCTTAAGTTTTACTTTTCCATGAAATGAGAACATTAATATTATAGACATTAAAATACGTTTTGTTTCCATTTCTGTCTAGAAAGTTTATGTTTACTTAATGTAGGAAGTATATTCTTAATAAAATATAATACCTTTACTTCTAACTTAATATTCTTAATCCTATTAAAATGATAAATGTAAAAGTGTATGAGAATGTATGGATGTATGTTTGTTATTCTTTCATGCCAAAGTGGACGGACGGATTTGGTTGAAATCAAGTATGTAGATAGGTGATGATCCTAGATTAACACATAAGCTATGTTTATTTACCATGCGGGCGAAGTCACGGACAGAAGCTAGTAATATAATACAAAAAATCAAATGATTTAGTTTTTCACGTTATCATTTTTAACATTTCTTCCCTGTCACGGCTGTGTTTACAAATATAAAATTTTACATACAGTTTTTGGTTTATACAAAGAGATCCGAGTGGGAATCAAACCCACAATGCGTTGCACCACAGCTTGCCTAGCCACTGCGTCACTTGTAATGCCGCTGTACATTTTATATTGACTTTTATCTTAAGGAAAACACCAGAAAAGCCATAGCGTTGTGTTATTGTTATAATTTTGACAATTTACGATGTAATTAAAAAAAAATACGGGTTACTCACTTTTGTAATTGAGGTAAGCTCTACTAGTTTCGAACCACAGAGGGGCTCTTCCTCATGAGCAGCGTGCCCGCGATTTTTAGTTAGTTTAGTATGTCTCACGACAGTTACAATAAAAAAATACGATATTTAACAAAATTGAGATAGACATTCTAATATTATATTGAGACTGAACTTCACAAAATAATTGCTAAAGCTTTGGTATTTTCGTTATAATACCAAGAAGATATTTTCATAATACTTTAGATTTATATAAAATAATCGTCCCGGTATTTAAATGAATGGTCGTTAATTTATGTTAGAATTAATACAAAACGTTATATCTAAAGCTATTTCACCATTCAAATCACACAGAAATAGATTCAATTAAACACAGGGTGATAATTGTTAAATACAATTTATTTTCAGTATAAATTCTGCTGCTTACTTACTTGAGCATCCTTTGAAGTTATGATTTAACAAATAAGTGCTCATTAGGAAATACTCGACTTCGGGCCACCGTTCCGTCTTTCCTATCTTCTAAACGAACATTTTGCTTGCTTTACTTGTAAAATTTTGATTAATTTTACTCAGAAATTTTGACGCGAAATTTTAAACAAAAACAAAGTTTCCTTTCGCGCGCGTTAATTATATTGTATTACTGTTAATTTATTGATCGGATATTATATACCTATGAAAGATACAAAAAACAAGAACATTGTTATCCAAGAAAATAATCTGAGAAACAAAAATATCGTTGACGTATCTTTTACAAAGTAGGTGGTCACAAATTTATCTGCAAATCTCTAATCGCCAAGTTTGAAAATCGATTTTATAATAGTTTAATTTTCAATTTAAAATTGCAATTGAACTTAAGCAGACCCACCTCACACTAAAATAAAATAGTTATTGAAACACTCTTTCATAGACTAATAATCATTAATTTTGCAAAACACGGAGAAGGGCTACAAATAATACTGAATAATGAAATAACTTTTACACAAAACATATTTTCTATTCCCAACAACCGCAGGAACGCTTACATGATTTGATACAGCGGAATTTCCACGCCACTGATGTGTCATGTTTGTATATCGCTTAATTTATATACATATATAAGGAAACGGTTAAAAGAATATAAGCCTTAAATAAAACTCGCATTTTTTCCTCCAAATCTTAAGCAGTCACGTCGTATAATCAAAACATAAGTCGAAACTTTAGTCCTTTTTGAATTTAAGGTTAAATGGTTTCTTTCAAGAAGCTTCCTCTTGGGTGGAGTCAGAGGGAGTCTCAGAATCTTACTAACTAAGACCTTCCGACGAACCAACTAGCCAACTTCCGTCCCAGACCACGGATTATTTTTTCTTGACCGGTGGTAGTTATAATTTAAATTGTAACAGAAATTTATAGTGTGACAAGGTATTTTATCTATTTTTTTCATAAAAGGAAGACTAAAAAGTTTCAATGACAATAGTTTTTTAAAGTTCACAGTAGTTTAAAAGCAGAATGAAAAAATTAAAAACGACTTTATTTTATTTTTTATAAGAAGCCATTGTAAATTTCTTTGAAAGGAAATATTTCAATTTTTTAAACTATATCGTCTATTTTCTAGAAGTTTCTAGAGCGGACACGAAAAAAAATGTATAAAGATACTTTTGCAATTTTTTGCATTATTCCGAAGTTGCATTGGAAAAAAAGATGTCATACAGCTGACCGTGAACTATATTTCAGTTTTTTATAGTCATACAAATCTATACTACTATTATAAAGAGGTAACATTTGTAAGTTTGTATGTTTGTACGTTTGTATGTAGGGGGTAATCTTTGGAACCGCTGGTTGGATTGCCAAAATCCTTTCACTGATAGATAGCTACAATGTTCCTGAGCGCTATAAGCTACAAAACATCACGCTACGATTAAATGGAGCCGAGCAGCGGGTGAAACCGTGCGAGAGTAGCTAGTTATGTATAAGAAAATATTACAACATAACATTTAAATCTCAAAATACGCCTATTAATTTTTACATCTCATTTTTAACAATTATGTTACGTTTAAGTACAAACAAGCAAATTCTATACCCTACTATCCTATCCTAGACCCAAATATCGGAAAATTAAATTTAGTTTGTTTGTTTACTGAATAAATTTTCGAGTATTACTAGCAGTCAGAGCAACCTAATTTCCTAAAACAACATCACTTGTGTCTATGAAAACACAGACAGACAAACGTTTCTCGACGTTGAACTTAATTTGTTATCAGAACACAATATTATTTCATACCGTCACTTGGAGTTCTCTAAGATTTATTATGAAAGTAAAAATTTTGGCCTAATATATAGTTTAAATTTATAATATGAGAGTGTTATAAATGTTATTGATATTAATAAAGTAATGTAAGTGTGCCCTGTTCCGACACGAATGGGTTTACTCAACCGAAGTGATACCACAGCCTCACAGGAAACGGGTATGAAACACCGGTTTACCAGAGATCCATTCATTTATTCCAGATCTGTTTCCTCTCTTCAAATCACTCCCCAACCTCTAATCTCCGAAACCCTAATCCCTAAAGACCGGCAACGCACTCGTAATTCTTCTATTGTTGCAAGTAATTAGTCTGAAAGTTGGCCATTCTATCACACAAAAAAACAGACGATGAATAATCCGCCTATGACGTTCTCCGGTCAATATTTAAAACAAATATATTAGCATGAAACACAATTTAGTTCTGTTTACGTTAAAATTGTAGGTTTCAGAGTTGTAAAATTTTCCAGGTGTGTAAAAATCGTGTTGTAAAAAACTTCATTAACGAGCTTCCGACCGCAGTATTTATGTTAATCCAGAGTATTACCTATCTACATACCGAATTTCAACCAAATCTTTCCAGCAGTTTTCGCGTGAAATAATAACAAACATACATCCATATATTCTAACAAACTTTCACATTTGTAATATTATTATAGTAGGCAAGGATAGGAGGATAGTAGGATTAATTAATCATTGTAATAACATAAATGTTTTTTTTTTATTCGTGTACAGACATTGTCGCAATAGCATAAGAATAAGTAGTACAAACACGGTCAACTAGTGGTTGGTAAAACTCAATTAGTGGTTGTCACGTGTGGCTCGTGGTCTACATGTATGACCCTTAGTTACCAAATTAGGAGGTCAAATGGTATGAACGTAAATGACAAGGCGCCTCCTTATATTCTTATACCGCAATTACTACTTATTACAATGTTTCCTGTGACTGGAACCTTTTCTCTCTTAATTAGTTTAGTGTAATATCGCTGTATTACAGGTCTGAATGAGTTTGCCCGAGGCTTACATGTTCGAATTCGTTGGTTATAAGGTCTCATGAATGAACGATATTTAAATGTTGTTTATTTTTACCTACTCGGAAATCTCGTATCAACATTAAACTAAGTGAAAACTGAATAAAAAAAAATCGAAGCTCGGCAAGCAAAGGTAGCTTGCCGCCCGATCAGAATCAGATCCGAACGTACGGAGCGTAGCATTCCGCGCACGCCTTAAGGAACCAACTGACCACCACAGACGGGACTCTACAGGGTCGATGTTCAGCTGGGGATGCGGGGGAAGTGCAATAAGGTACCGCTACCGCATCTTAGAGCTGGAGAAAGTAGGTGGTTTTTTGTCAGTAAGAGTCTGACACTCCCTCTCGCTATACTCTAAGCGAGAGAAGTCATTGGATGATTTTCTCTCTTGAAAAAACGTTAAAAGTAACAAGCAATTAAATTAAGTCACAAACTGTTATACATAACAGAAATAATGAAGTCAGTCTTCTATCGTACGTAAATAAAGAACGTTCATATTCATCATCGTTACAATTAAAGGAATCCAATCCATTTTTTAATGCACCGGCCACACTAGCGGTTAAAGTCATCATAATTATAAGTATTGCAAAAATGGTCGCTAAACGTATTTGTATCCGCGATTTTAAATCACATCACAAAGTCCTTTTCTCACATGGAGAAGGTTTGAGAATTTATCACCAAGCTTGCTGTAGGATTGATTTACGATTTTAGAATTATAATAAGAAATTGTAAGTCTAGGTTCCCTCACGATATTTTCCTTCCCCGTTTGTCAGTGGTATCAAAATAATTATAGAAGCCACATATAACTCGGAAATAGTCCCATTAGCACTTGCGAGGTTTCGATCCCGCACCCTCATGCAAGAGAAGCGGGCGCCTTAACCTCCGGGACAATATCCGCGATTTAACGCGATAATTTGACCAAGCAATTAACATTGACGATTGGAGTTAGGCGATAGCTAATGCGGCAGTGCAACAAAAAGCTATACTGCGTCAATGCCGAATTCCATCGTGATTCGAGTAAAACATCCCCAAATTGAAAATTGATACCTTACGACGTCTCATCCCCAAATTTAAAATTGATACTTTAAAAATTACCGCAGTAGCGAAAAAATATCTGAAGGTTAACTAAAAATCGCGGGTTACTCACGTGTATAAATTGAGAAAAGCTCTACTAGTTTCGAACAACAGAGGGGTTCTTTCTCATGAGCAGCGTGCGTGGCGATGTTGCGCAGCTTACTGCCTACATTTCTCAATTTGTACACGTGAGTAACCCGCAATTTTTACTTAATTTAGTATGTCTCACGATAGTTATGATAAAAACATATCTGAAGGTCTTTAACGTATACCGCTAGTGAGGCCCAGGCATAAGAAAATTTTATTTAATTTCCGATCCGGTGTTCTTTTGTCAATACAAATATTTTCTTTGAGTTATTGTGTATGTATATAAATAACTAAATATGTACATTTCCAAGTAACGGTGGCTCGATAACCTAGTTATACTAATTTGTAATCCATATTGAATAATAAATTGTGAATAAAAAATATTTTTCTTTATTGGTATACTTCATTTACGTTTATATATGATGATTGAATTGTAATTTTATATTTCTTGGAATGTAGAAAATATTCAATAGTTTATAAATACATATTGTGACGCATTCTACGAAGTGTAGTATTCGTACAGAAACACAAGATTTTTTATACATATTTACAAAAAAAATCTTATGGTTTTGGGGTGTTCGAAATAAATCATGAGCTTATATGAAAGAAGAATGTGAAAAATAAGTGTGGGAGAGTCATGCTTCGGTACAAATGGGTCGGCTCGACCGGAGTGATACTACGGCCTCATAGAAAAACGGCGTAATATCCACATATAACCACAGCGCTGTGTTTCGCCGTGTGAGTGAGTTTACCGGAGGCCCAATCTTTCCCCTCTAAACACTAATCCCCAAAAATTCGGCAACGCACTCGTAACTCCTCAGTTGTTGCAGGTGTTCATGAGCAGCGCTGATTGCTTATCATCAGGTAATCCATCAGCTCGTTTTTCAACCTATACCATAAACAAATTGAAAATAACATAGACATTTTCTTTCATAATTATAGATTACTTTACCGTAGTCGGAAATTGAATAGGTCAGAACAGAACACCAGGTAACAACTCAACTGCTTAGGGAACTTTTGGATTTACAAAAACATGCCATATTGATGACATAAAAGGGAAAGGATTAGGTCTTGGATAACTTCAATTACACGCTACGCAAAGGCAGCGTTGTTTCTCGCCCATTCACGAGGCATGGCTTTCCACATTTTGTCAATATTTTTTTATACATTCCTTCGTCATTAATGTAATTTATCTATGTCGATTGGTCATGGTCAAGTAAAAATGTAATAAAATATTTATTTTATTTTTCAGGTTGCATAGTTGTGGTGTCATATTCTCTGATGGGGCGACGGCTTTGCTCCGTGCTACCACCATTTGACCAGACGGAGGGCAGCGCTAATAGCCAACAGGTATGTAAAATATATACTACTAGCGGGCTCCCCTGCTTCGCACGGGTGTGCTCGCTGAATAGAACAAAAGGGTCGGTATTTCCTGAATTTACCCTCTAATTTTCTTAATATTTTTTATAAGAACCTTTTCTTGACACTAATGAACACTTCAAAAACAGATCTGGCAAAATTGGTCCAAGCGTTGTTGAGTTATGTGCGTACCAACACACTTAGCGATTCATTTTTATACTTATATAGGTATATAGATATAATTAATATTGATTGAATGTTCCGAAATAGAGACTTAAAAAATCTACGTAAGAAGGTATTAAATAACTGTTTCCTCTGAGAATAAATATCAAAATGTTTAAATCGCAAAAGACCTTGAAACATTCCCCTTACCCCCTATTTCTCATAAGACGCATTAGGCCCCCTTGTTAAACACAAGATATTTAAAACAAGACGTTTAATATCATCACCAACGCATGTTTGGCAAACATTTGCTCACAAACATCGCAATAGGGCTCGTAAAACAATATTACGTATTTGTTTTGTTTCGCTAGATACCGAGATATATGCCCCTCGCCCCATTACTGGATATTCAATTCACTTCAAATATTTTCTCAATACCAAAAATGTTTGCAGATTGAGTTTAGAATCATAGTGATTGTCAATTTTCTGAAAAATCTTATAGTTGTTTGGTTTGGTCTCTCATATTATTTACTGTTTGTTGATGATAAAAAGTTTTAAAATGGAATTGGACACTGTCTCTTGATATCTGAGTAAATGCGTTCTTTGTTTTATATTAAACTACGTTTGAAATAATAGTTTGCAATTTTTGCGATTTTAAATTATTAGGTATATGAAATATGAAATAATTTATATTTGATAACCCGTCCGGCAGATAATAATGGTAGTTTTCAATTCCCGATAAAATTAATTATTTCACTGAAAATTGATATACTCATTAGTGTAATCATTTGTTCTGTTAGCAGTATGAACAACGAAAGTTGTTAATTAATGGCTTTTAGTTGGGCCATAGACAGGTGTCATGTTAAAGTTTTTCATATTTAAGTGGAAGAGTGATCCTTCATCTAAAATGGGCCGGCTGGAGTCGGATTGATACCGCAGTCTCGTAGGAAACTGGCGTGAAACAATGTTTGCCTTGAGTTTCGCTGAGAGGTTGAGATTACCGGAGGTATCACCAAAATGACAAATCCCCAATGTAAATCCCTAATCTCCAATCCCAAAAGCCCAATCTCCAATTTTCTTATGTATTGTGTCAAGCGTACATGTAAATCTAGTGTGACGAGTTTCCATGGATCGATACCGGTGGCTTACCACTAAGATATTTAGAAAAAAAATCCTGACCTAGAATTCCACTATATATTACTTTATATACATATTTTCCTACGAGGCGATCTTCCCATCGAAATATTTTAGTTCCTATGTACATATCAGTTCATTGTTTTTCTATTAGTTATTCGAGTGCGTTTGACTTCTAACACGCCTGATGGAAAGCAATGATGGGGTCTAAGGTGGAACACGCAAACTCAAAAAATGCCTATTGACTGTTGCCTTGAAAATCCCTAAATCGTAGGTTTCTGAGAATTGTATGGGAATTTATGAAAGGAAATTATAATAAAGTAATTGCCTTGTACCTCATGTACGGAATATAGTATAATAGGGATAACAACTTACGTAGGCATAAAAGAATTATTATTTTGTAGAGAAACTATTATTTACCTTGTAGCTATGCATGTACGTGTGGGATTATTTTTTTCCCTTAACTTATTAGAAAATGATTTGGCAATATTTGTAATTATACCGTAAATAATAACTGTAATGTTTTATTTATGAGTAAGTTACAGAATTAGAGAATTAGAGTCTCTTTAAGGGTATTTATACACCATGAAAAACAAACCCTCATGTGTACCCGGTATAAAAAGTACCCCATGTTTTATTCATTTTCTCAGTCGCTTTGCAGTGGTTGTGGTTGTCCTTTCATGGTGGTCGACGAATACGCCGCCAGTGTGCATTTCTCCCCGCTAGATGTCGTTTTGCTCAATTCTTTCAGAGGACAACCACCTACGTAAACGTTCAAGAATCTTGGATAACTTGTCGTGTCTGTCCGGTATACCTTGAAAAACTTTTTGCCCGGCTTTTAACCTATCTCTATATACTAATACTCAAATTCATTGAAGTCTATTCGGTAATTTTTGTGTGAAAAAGCAACAAACTTACTTAAATGTTCGCAAACTTACACACAGTTAAAATTAGCTAATAAAACACAACAACTTTGAAATACATATATCTTTATTATGGGGAAAACATTTATTTAAAAAATCTTATAAGGATTATAATTCATATAATGAAAGTCAGATGATCAAATAAAAATCACAGTAGACAATATTACCGTATAATCAAGAAAATGCTTCAGTTAAATAGTTATTTAATAATAATTCTTTACCTATGAAATTGCCGTTTTGCATGAAAAAATTTAATCGAATTTTTTTATTTGAAGTGCGATGAAAATGTAGCACTAATCAATAAACAAATGACTACTTTTGAAAAAAGAATCCCATTTTTTAAAACAAAATTAATTAGCCTTAGCCTAACAAAAACTATTTTGATTTGAAATGGCCAGTACTGCAGAACGGCAATTTCATAGGTAAAGACCTATTATATAAAATATACATTTAAATTCTAAGAAGTCGACGTGTAACAAAATGAAGTTGCTATCACTCAAAAAATTTGTAAAAGTACGAAGGCTTATTTTACTATGCCAGTAATATTTTTTAGTTTTGATAAAATACTGCTTTAGTTAATAAACAAATATGATTATTAAACTTCGACAATTTGCAAACGGATTTCATTTGGAGTCACGAAACAGTCGAGTTAATGTTATACGACGGTAATTTTCTTTTCTGTGATATTGTGTTACTTATATTGTGTCACCTTGAAATTTCTTTCAATTACTTTTTAACGTTGCCCCACATTAGGATTTTCTCTTGTGTCGTGGGTGCGGTTACAAACATAAAATTTAACATACACATGACACCCAGACCCGGAACAACAATTTGTGGATCACACAAAGAGTTGTTCCGTGCGGGAATCGAACCCGCGACACGTTGCACGGCAGCCAGTTGCCCAGCCACGGCACCAACCGTGCAGTCAATTACTTGAACATCAACGTATATTTGTCAACTTCTATAACTACTAATAATGCCGGGGTTGTGGGGTAAACGCAATGAGGCAACGCGACCTCGGCATAGAGCAGGAGAAGGAACAGGGGTTTTTTAGTCAGTAAGAGTCTGACACTCCCTCCCGCCCGGTCCTGGGCGGGAGAAGTAATTTGATGATTTTACCCTCACATTAAAAAAAACTACTAATAATATAAAGAGGCATTTTTTAGGTTTGTATGTAGGCGGTAATCTTTGTAACCGCTAGTAGGACTTCCAATTTTTTTTTCATACATCAGCGAAAATTAAATTTCTCTGAACGAAACCTAACGAAATCTAACACAATGAAAATACATGACTAAAAAAAAGTAACAGATTAAAAATTTCGTTTCAAAAACTAATAAAATTCCCTCATCAACAGAACGTGTCTAGAAATAAACACGGGATGGCGTATAACAACAGTAAATTAAAGAAGCTATCCTTTATTCAACAGGTTTATGTGGGCATTATTGTCGGTCGTTAATTCTGACCCTGGACGAGGCAACAGGTGAAATGTGTGAAACTGATTTTTGTTAACGTTCCGTCAGGATTGTAAAGTTTTTGTAGGCAATTTCATTAAGAAAGAAAGAAAAGAAGAAAGAAAAATAATTTATTTGGCATGAACAATAAGAAAAAAAAATATTGCAAAGTTATGTACAATAATAAGAAATAATTATAATACAACAATTAAAAAAAAAGGTACCAAAAATATAAAAAAAAAATAAACAACAAACTAATATAACAATGTTGAGTTTAGGAACTAAAATATTTCTTAAAATGTAAAATAATATTTAAAAAAAAGTCCTTAAACAACTAAAAATTTTGACATAACAGCATACCCATGCCAAAAGGGTTGCCATCTCAGTATAAGTTGGGCTCAATAAGAACCCAACACTGGTTTTCAGTTGGCACCCTTGCAGTGACGTACGGACGGAAGTAACATAAATTTAAAATTATACAATTAATGGATATTTCTAAAGATAGAGAGAGGAAAAGGGAAAAATGTAAATAATATATTTATAAAATAAAAATAAAACACATAAATATAAATAACAACTAAAATATTACGTATTATAAGCAATTTGCATACCGTCAATAATAATAAAAAAAAAAAAAAGAACACAAAAAATCAGAAAGAAATGATATCAGTAGTTGTTACAATATTGAGGGTGACGGACAAGTGATCGCAGAATTATCAATTTTGTTTTTTTTATTGACCACCGCAGACATCGAAGGAACTATAGGTAAGTTTGCAAGGCGCTTCCCAATAATTACATAAATTTCAAATGGAATAAAAATTAAATAAAAGAAATGTCAGTACCGATTCCCTCACTGCCGATTTGTGAGTTAATAATAAAGTCTTTAAGCTTTACTTTAAAACTATGTACACTTTGCAGGTTCCTGATTGGCGGAGGGATGTTATTCCAGCATTTGGACGCTGCATATCGGAAACTTCCTCGAAAAGCAGCCGATTTGTGTTGCGGTATGGCCAGCTGTTGTGCGCACCGTCTACCCTCTCGCTGCCTATGAGCATTAACCCACGAGAGCTTCGAGTAAAGGTATGCCGGACACTTGTATTTGATGATGCCAAAGAGGAGACATGCAAGATGGAGCTTCCGTCGTGATTTCATCTTTAAAAGGCTGTGTTTGTTTAAGTAAGGTGTAACATGGTTCCTTGGAGGTATTTTAAAACAAAAACGTGCACAAGCATTCTGAACCCTTTGTATTAACCGTTCAGTCCGTGCAAAAAGTCTAGGACCAATGACCGTATCAGCGTAGTTCAGCTTAGACAAAACCAAC